GAAATATCCTTGGCAAATTTTGGACGAAATCGGATCAGATTTGGATATAAGTCCCACATGTATTTTTGCCCGACTTCAAGGATATTGTTTACCAAATATGTAATTTAATTAGTACACTTTTCAAAATCCACTTATTTACTTTCCAAACTTGATTCTCATACAAAATTTCAAGTTTTTGCTCTATGCGTGATGACACTATTTTAGAAATTTGATACCATTTTAGAACTTTTCGTAGCCTTTTAATTCGAATTTGGTTCATCTATTCTGTACTCCATCAGTGAATCTCATTGCAAATGTCAGAATTCCAGCTCTTTCCTTTTGTCCAATACAAAGTAGTCAATTTTTAGTATTTTTTACTATTTTCGTTTTCTTTTAGTACAAATCTCCAAATAATACTAGTTTTAATCATGGTAACGATCCTCCAAAATCAGCATTTCACTCAATCTATGTGGCAATCATGCTTGATTTGCGTGCAAATCTGTCAATTGAACTGGAGAGGACGATCTTTCAGTTATATTCCCTCAAAATTATTTGCGAGATTACGTAGCCTTTGAAGTTTTTCAAGCATAACATTTTAAAGTGTATTCCAATCCTGTATTCCAAAATATTCTGTTTTGTCGTATATAACGCAGAAATAAAATATGGCGAAAATATATATATGACATCCATATGTAAATAAGATTCCTTCTTGGGCCACTCAAATGAGCAAAGTGTGGTATCATCCGGACAATATATACGGAAGTTATTCGAAAAGTTCCCTACTGCAAATTCCAGTGTGTAAGAGAGAATGCAGTAAAAGTTTTCAAAATGCCGTAAAGCACGCAGTACCCTTATGTTGGGGCTATACGAACACATGAAGCATTTGTTGTCTTCTGTTGCGATTTACTATACCAAATTTAAAACAATTTCAATTAGAAAAATTTGTTTAAAATATGGAAATATAATATACTGCGAGGTTCCATGGAACAATATGGAACATTTTCTGCTACAATAGTTTGTACTTGTTGCGAAAATCGAATAACAAAGCTCTGAAAACCCTTTCTTTGATATATATAAACTCTTAAAAATGCCTAATATTTAATTACTCAATTTAAAAAGTAATTAAACAACTAGGTTTTCGATTTCAATAATAAAGATGTTGTAAAATTTAAATCAACCAAAGGGAGAGGAAGAACGGTTGTAAAAATCTGTTAAACAAGATAAAATTCACTCCGCACGTTTAAAGTCCTATTGTTGTTAATTAATAGTTTAAAAATATTGAATAAAATCTTTACCTATATTTGATTTAATCCACCAAAAGTTTTAGTTTTATATGATCGACTCCGCCGAAATGCATTTGAAAGCAAAACGTCTAAGTAAATAGTTTCATGAATAGCCACTAGCAACATAAATGGTTTGCAATAAACTGATTTATTTTAGGTTTTACTAGCTGAACCCGGTGCGCTTCGCTACCCCTTTTGATTTTATATGCGTTCAACATTTTATTTACGAATATATGTTGGATAAAAAAACAAATTTAGAAAATTAAAAAAAAAATATATTGCACTACTTTAATGCGTTAATAAACAAAAACAATAGAAAAGCAGTTACATGACATGCATACACGAAGGGTTTGTCCTTCGGATTATTTTTTTTTTCATAGCAAATACCAAGCGTGCAGGAAACTGTAATTTTTTTAAGTTGAGTGACATTTCTATTGCAATTAGTGAATTCGAGGTAGCAACATACTTCCCCGTAATAAGCGTACTTCAAATTAACTATTGTGTTGTTTTTTAGTGTTAGCCTAAGGCGTTGTGGGTCAATGGTTCTTATTAAAATCATATCTCAATCTGATCCGATGTAAATATAATTTTAAAAAATTTACTTTTACACCAAATTCCGCCACAACTTTCATATTTCATATTTCATATATGTGAAATCGGCCGAGAATATATATATGGGAGCTATATCCAAATCTTAACTAATTTCCAATTAATTTATCACATTTATTATTGTAACCAAATTCCGCCAGATATTCTGAATTTCATTGGAATCAGTCATATATATCGTGTTTCGTACATAACATGTATGAAGTCGGCCGAAATATATATGTTAGCTATACCCAAACCTCAACCGATTTCAATTTAATTTGGCAATTTTTTTCTGGTGCCAGATTTCGTCTCTCTCGCTTTGGGTGCATGAAATATGTGAAATCGGCCGAGAATATATATGGGAGCTATAATCAAATCGGAGCAAATTTGAATATAATTCGTCAAATTTATTTTTGTAGCCAATTTAGTCACTCATGGCGAATTTCATTGGAATCGGAAATACATATCGTGTTTTGTGAATCAAATATGTGAAATCGGCGGAAAATATATATGTGAGCTATATCCAAATCTGAACCGATTTTAATATAACTTGACTAATTTATTTTCTAATCAAAATCCCGTCACATATTCTAAATTTCTTTGGAATCGAACATACATATCGTGTATGGTGCATAAAATGCATGAAATCCGTCGAATATATATATGAGAGCTACCTCCAAATCTGAATCGATTTTAATATAATTTGACTAATTTATTTTCTAATCAAAATCCCGTCACACATTCCAATTTCAATGTCATCGAACATACATATCGTGTTTGGTGCATCAAATAAACGAAATCGGTTGAAGATATATATGGGAGCTATATCCAAATCTGAACCGATTTCAATATAATTTGATAAATGTATAATCGTTTTAATTTCCGCTACACATTCCAAATTACATTGAAATTAGAGATACATAGGGTGTTTGGTGCATCAAATACATGAAATCGGCCGAAAATATATATGGGAGCTATATCCAAATCTGAACCGATTTCAATATAATTTGATAAATTTATTTTCGGATCAAATCCCTTTAAACATTCCAAATCTCATTGGAATCGAACAATCATGTCGTGTTTGGGGCATCAAATGAACGAAATCGGCCGAAAATATATATGGGAGGTATATCCAAATCTGAACCGATTTCAATATAATTAGACAAATTCATTTTTGCTCCCGATTTCGTTACTTATTTTAAAATTTCATTTAAATTGGACATACATATCGTGTTTGGTGCACCACATACATGAAATCGGGCGAAAATGTATATGGGAGCTATATCCAAATCTGAACCGATTTCAATATAATTTGATAAATTTATTTTCGGATCAAATCCCTTTAAACATTCCAAATCTCATTGGAATCGAACATTCATGTCGTGTTTGGGGCATCAAATGAACGAAATCGGCCGAAAATATATATGGGAGGTATATCCAAATCTGAACCGATTTCAATATAATTTGACAAATTTATTTTTGTTCCAAATTCCGTTACGCATTCCAAATTTGGAGACTGTATCTGTAATCGATCAATAGATATGTGCATACAAAATCTAAATTTTTGGGAGGTAACTCCGATTCTGATGCTATATCTCTACGTCCAAGTGGAATTTCAAAAATGTATATAGCCTATGTTAGTTTCAGGCGATTTTACAGTATACATGTAAACAAACAAACATTTTCCTCTTTTATAGATAAAGATAGGTGTGTTTTTTAGTTTTCCTAATGTCACATAAGTAATACTTTAATTTTGTAGCATACTTTGAGGCTTACACTTTTGTATAAATTGTGCTTGAGTTGCCAACTAATTTCAATATGGAAACTAGTTGGCAACTCATACAAAGGCGTGGATCTGTATAGGACATTTTTTTTCATGAGAAGTAGTACCCATTACGAACTTTAAATTCCAATTTAGAAATAATTCCGGCATTTATTTTTCAGCATTTATTCATATTCATTATGAAATCCAAACCAAACTTGAAACAATTCCGATCAAAAGTATGTCCCAATTCATCAATATACCTTATATCTAAAGTTATATGAAGGTTATACGAAAACGTGGACCTCTTTAGCTAATTATCTGCCAGAGAAGGCGGCGCACTATGTCGCGAGTTCAAATAAAAGATGGCCAAAAATAAAAGGAGTTGGGAAAAGAGGATAAATGTTGGTACTTATTATTGTCATATTATGGCGAGAAGTTTCGTATAGCCCCCATACAACGTTACTTCCCGGTAACCTGTATTTTGTCTATTTGGATCAACCTTTCTCTATAGTCCCCATATGACGGTACCTCAAGGTATTCAGTATAAGTAAAAGTAATGAAAATTGTGACCCTTTTTGGGTGAGGTTCCAGAAGCGGTTCGCAGATATATATTATCTTCACAACAGATCGTGTGTTTGCAAAAAAATTTATATATGTGAAATTTGAAGAGATTTGGATGCATATTTCGTTTTCTTTGAGCGATTTATTTTTCAAAATCTTCAACCCTATGTGGTCCAGAAGAAATGGTCCGATCTCTACTATCTTTATAGCAGATCTTTTGTTGATGGAAATATTGAGATGTACCAAGCTGAACGGAATCGGATGTTAATTGCGCGTTTTGAAGCTCTTCATGGATATTCAAAATGTTGAACCTTTGTGGGAGAGGTACCAGAAGGAGTGTACCGCAATATTCTATCTCCACAACAGACCTTGGGTTAATAAAAGTGATGTGTGTAATTTGATGACAATCGGACCCAAATTTTCATCAATAAATTTATGGTATGAGTCACATGGTTTTGGCCATTTTTGCCACGATTGTGACACTGTTCGAGGAATATTTTGAATTTCAAATACCAAGTTTGAGATGATCCCGTGGAAAAATGAAGCTAAAATTCTTAAAATACTGAATTGGAAATTTTTTTATTGGGAATTAATGTTATGCACCTTTTTTGAATGCGTATGGAGACTCTAGATGGGAATCGGATAGTGACACTGAAAGAGACCAAAGATATAAAAATAAAATAACTTTTGATTTGTGTACAACAAATTAGTTTTTATTGTTAACTTAAAGTTATATTAAAAAATCCAACAAAATCTTTTTTGTTCAAAATAGAAAATATTGTTAAAATAGTAAATTTTAATTGTTAAAAATATTATGAGAAATAGAGCACTATTTCCTTAAATTGTTTTTCTTTTTTTTTTTTTTTTGGTAAATTATTAATGAGAGTATTACGACGACAGTCATAATGAACGAAAATCAATAAAAATTGCCTTAAATATTAAATAAAATTGAAAAGAAATGTATGCATGCAGTGAAAACTAGTATAAATTCAAGAGTTGAGTAAATGTTTAAATAAATTGTTGTTGTTCATATAAATGAAATAGTATTTTTTTTTTTTTTTTTTTTTTTTTTTGTTTTGTTTTGGCCACACACGAGGCATTAATGTGTAAAACAGGACTTTGGCTTTAGTTTTGTTTGCTCTTTTAAAGATCATTTTCATCCAGACGTTCGTTGTTTTCCAAGATTTGTTTGCGAGCCTCCTCATATGATGGTACACCCTGTGAATGGAGGAGAGATGACGGCGTTATTAAGGTATAATATTTAGAAATCATGATGTATACATAAATTACATATTCATACATTTAATGGGAATTTGTAATGGAGTGATTGATCGATTGGGAATTAAAGGTAATACAAAAGGACACGTTATGGTAGCTTTAGTAGCCTACACCTTGGTCAAAACAGATAAATAGTGCTATTATAAAAGGGTGGGCGATAAATGTTTTCCAAAGCATGGATTTTCGATAAAGAGGAACCAATGGGGATATACAGGGTGAGATAAAAAAACCGCAACAATGTCAAACGCCATAATTTGTAGACTTTTTTTAAGTTTTATTGAATGAAAACAAAAGGTGTAGGAAATAGCATCAAATATTAGAATATGTTTAGATTTGTTCGAATTGGCCACATTTGGCACGAATTATGGTCTTCAAACTGCCAATGAAACCGTCACACGCTGTCCGAATGTTGCTCTGCTGTATTTTGGCCCAGTCTCGGCGAAAAACTTGCTTGACACGTTGGTACTTTTTAGTGCCAACCTTGCTTTCCAAAATACTCTAGACGCAATAGTCTAACGGATTGATATCCGGAGATTTTGGTGGCCATTGTGCGCTGGAAATGAAGCGAGGAGCCTCATTTTGTAACCATTCTTGGGTGGGTGCGATGGTGCTGAGTCCTGTTGGAATGTCCAAGGTCTGTAAAATGTTTGCGTCTTTTATTCTGATTCCATGTCGATTAATACGAGCGGAGAGCGACCATCACTTTCTTGCACTTTTTGGAATTGCAACGGCTTTACCCCGAGCTCATTTTTCAATATATGGAATATTGCGATATGTTCAGATCATGAATCATTTTTCAGCCACTGCGAAATGACAGCAGTCTGAAGTTGGTTGCAATTTTTTCATCTCACCCTGTATATTCAATTTTCATATCGAATGCATATACGGCTGCATTATATGGAAATTTAATATAGATCCACAATATCACAGTAAACAATTTGTATGTACGAGCTATTACACAGTTTCTACATATTTCTTAATGAGGTCATCAATTACTCTGATATTGTTTCGTTTAAAATTAAATACACAGAGGTGTTGTATCTATTTTAGTGATTTCAAATTTCGTGCAAACATATCCTTTCGTAAATGAAATAAGCTATTAACTTACCTTATTATTATGTATTTGTTACTTGCATTTTTAATGATCCAATTATTTGTCTATTGTATGAGTATTACATTGCTGTCTTGAATGGCAGTTTTGTCAATGTTATAAATAATAATACATACATACATTGTTTATATATACATGTAAGGATATACGAAACAATGTAGATATCAATAAACATAAAATTAAAACAACAGTAAGTAATATTTAGTAATATTTATATTTAGTAATATTTTCATGATATCAATATCAATGAACTACTCAGGTATAGAAATGACAAACGAACATTTAATTAAGATTATGATTGGCAGAAGATGAGATATTAGAATTATTTAAGGTCAAATTCTATTTGTGTTAGCCTTTTAGAAAATACTGTTGCAAATCAAAATCTCATCAATATATATATATATATATATATATATATATATATATATATATATATATATATATATATAAATATATAAATAATTGTTGTTCGTTGGTAACGGAATCAGTTGAGAACGGGTGGACCGATTTGAATAATTTTTTGTACAAACATTCGTCATACCCCGAGTTAGGTTTTTAAAGAAAAAAATATTGACCACGTCTACTTTTACGCCCATTATTTCGATTTATCTAAAATCCTCATATTTGCCAAAATAATAAAGATATCGGTTTGAGAATTATTTCACGAGATACTGTTGGCTTTCCATCTAACCCTAAGTATTTATTTAAGGGCTGAGGAACGCGCGACAACGGATAAAACTGTTATTTATATATTTATTGGGTAATACAAATAAAATCATTTCAGAAGAGAAAAAGATATGAAAATTCAAAATCGGGAAAAATCTACAATTTTCCAATGAAATCGAATTTCAAAATAATAGTACATTCTACCGACAAACTTCGTAAGGACCTTTTAAAATTTGCCGTAAAAAATCAGCGAACTAGTTGAAGATTCTTTTTCCAATTCTTTCTTTTTTCTATATTGAAGTGTACATTTCTTATTGTTTTCAATTCTGAATGAATAATATTAAAAATTTAATGAGTGCGCAATACGATATGACGATCTTTCATGTATAAAATTACAGAACCTTCAGCTGGAAGATTGAAATTACCGAAAAAGCGTTATGCGGTTCATTTCAAAAAGTGGACCTGCTTCTTTCATATGACAATAATTCGTCCAATGAGAACTCAAAATGCAAAATACATTGGGACTGCAATCAGTGAAATACCGACTATAAAGGACGCAAAATAGTAGAGCGAATACCTTCCAGAAATTCTTCCTAAACATTTAAGATACTTTTAATCGCTTTAGAAGGTCATGATATGGGTCATAACTCCCGATAACGGAACAACTACATTTTAACCGTATTTTTCGTACTAATTTTGGCTTATGTTGATAATTTTGAGAAGAAACCATCCTTACAAAAAATTATCACTTTTTGGTATCACCATCATATGATTTAAGGTATTTTCGGGGTCTTGGCCACTTCTTCCATTTTGACATCTTTGTTTCTAAGAGGGAAGAAAACCTCTTCTCATAAATGTTTTATTTTTCGGAAAAGGGCCCATCTTAGTCTAGAGACTACATGGGGTAAAAAACCCTGGGGTAGAAAACCTTCTTACAGATAATTATCCACCTAGGGATTTATTTAAGTATAGTCCCCACATTAGCATACCCCCAAGTTCACTTTCCCAACCAATGCACAGTGGTCGCTGCCATTGGCCAAAATTCAAAAAATGAAAATCAGATATTTATTGTCAAATGTGTACACATTAACTCTTAAGAGGTTAAACTTTTTAGAAAACATAATAATATTGGCTTCATTCTAACGGGACACTTCGAAAATAGCATCAAAAAAGAGAAAATGTAGTAAGTTGTTTTTTTCAGTGGGATCGGTGAAAAAGTGGAGTAAAAATAGATCTGTATTACAAAATTAAATACATTTTAAAATGACAAATCTTGGCATTATTATTGAAAAGCAAGGTATTGACTTATTTTTAGTGCAGTAATTTGTGTGTTTAGTAGTTGGGTATAATATAGACGATGTGAGTGTTCTGAGTGGCCTTTAAGATTAATTTTGAAAATGAAATTGGATTTCAGTTAAAGTTTTAATTGTTTTCCCCCCTGAATCCTCCAATGTGATTTTTTTTACGCCATTAGTAATGGTCCTAAGATTCTAGAAGTGCTAATTTAACTTTCAGATTTTGTCAGATTTGTATGTTATGCCCAATATACTGAAGTGACTTCGCTCCAATTTTCTCAGTTCTATGGTCCTAGTGTTTTTGTTGTTTGGGATTGATAAGGATATAATTGAGGGGTGTTTAATAATGTTGCCTGCATTGTCCTGCATTTAAGGCCTCTGCACTGGAAATGGCTAAAGAGTTAACAAATAGAAACGCCTAAAGAGTTAACAAATAGATATCCATGGCACTATCTTCCACCCGCAGCTAATACAATTTTAATACATGCACCCGACATTATAAATTTGTCATTGTATCGATTGGAGAATTATATGAGGTGGCCATGGAGTCTAGAAACAAAGATATAAAAAAGTTTCGACTAAATCATACCCGAAAAATTATCGTGTTTCAACAAACACAGACCTTATTAACCGTCTTCTTCTGAGCTCCGACCCTTTTATAACGGGACAGCGAACGTTACCAATCAATAAAAAATCTATATTACTAAAATCTGCATTTGATTTACTTGAATAACACTGAAATTTATAAATATTCATTGGTAACTTTGATTTAATTTTATATTGAATTGTTTATTTTGTTTTCAAAAAAAATTGTCTATTTTGTTTAGAAAAAATAATCAAATTTGGAATTGATTTGTATAAAAAATACCTCTATTTTTGGAGGTACCTTGACTCTACCTGATGGCGGGCTGTTCCTAATAATTTTCAGTAAGATTATTTTTTATCTCCTTAGAACGTAAAATGTCAAATAACAGAACAATCTAGTGCAGAAATGTGACAAAAATTGGGCAAATAACCCCTATTCGGGAGGTGCGTTGTAAGGGGACCATGCCAAAACATGCATCGACCATATCCATTTTGTCACATTTTTTATTTTTATCCCATTAAGGTACCATAACCAAAGAATCATATTGATATCTGCACTGAAAGTATTTTTGGCCGCTGTTCCCATACGACCTCGACCACTGTGCAATGTGTGGTCAGAAAAGAAAATTTGGCATTCTATTGAATTTGAGAAGAGAATATTGGTTGGGAAGACTCATTCAGTCGGAAATTGTGACAGAAACATGAAAAAATACGAAATTAGAAAGTAACGCGGGACCGAACATTTGTTTAATCGTCATTGAATTATACTATGATGAAAAATGTGGACTTTATTGGATCTCCATCGCACCATTACTAAATAACTAAATACCACGTAGTACGGGATTTTAAACGTTGGAAATACAAATTACAAACTATAGCTCATTTGAATGGAAATGTTAAGCTTTTTACAATACCAAAAATTGAGCTGAATTTTCACATGGAGCTATTATAGATGTTATTTATCACATAGGTATTTAACACAAAAATTAATTTCTATTTAGTCAGGGAGTCAATACTTATAATCAAAATTGGAGTCATTACTTATAATCAAAATTGTGCCGCTTGCATAAGTCAGATCTGTGATTTATTAGGCTTTAAAAACACGCATTAATGATTAATAGTACGGGCCGGGAACCCGGACCGGGCCAGTAAAGTATAAATTGAATTAGCATGTCGTTTCACCTAGCCATGTCGTTTGCATAAAAACCAATTGAGGTAGATTTGCAGACCCCATAAAAAATAAATATACATAATCAGCTTAAAATTCTAAGTTGATTTAACAATGTCCGTCTGTCTGTTGAAATCACGATACAGCCCAAATTATTTGACGAAGAGCTTCAAAATTGGGCAGAACAATTTATATTGTAAGTATTTCGGTCCACGTTGTCGTATATCCCTCAAATAACGGAACCTCCCGATATTGGGTATGTTGATGATTCTTGCCACATTTTTCCACGGATTTGTCTTAACACTTGTATTTGTAGGTCATAGTGGGTTCTGGCTTCGGTGGTGAAACATTGTATGTATAGTTCCACATTTTTATATAGTCCCAATTTGTAGTTCTGTTAGGTTCCACCGCCGGTGGCAGAACAGTGCATGTATCCTCCATATAACAGAACCTCCAGATATTTTTAAAATTAAAGCCACATTATTTAGTATATTTGTGCAGAATTTGTTATTTGTACTACAACCGGTGTCAAAACATTTTCCATATTGGTCAACGGTTTCCATTCAACGGTTCGAAAGATAATTTGGTTTATCATTCCGCTGAACGAAAATGGTTATGTATACACTAAAATGATGCTGAAAAATATTGGGACATTACTTTGAAAAGCATGGTCATGTTTGCGAAAATTGCGTAGGGATTTTAGACGAAGAGAAAATCAAAATTGTCCCATTTGGGGCACAGAAACCCCGCACCGACACAGAAACATTAAAAAGGCAATGCACCCAAAACGGGTGACTGTATGGTGCGTATTTCGGTCCAGAAACCCAATTTGCCCATTTTTCTTCGAAAATTGACAAGGAATAGCCGTTACGTTATTGGAACATGACATGTTCACAAAAATGGAAGAGGAGGATATTGGCAACATTTGGTTTCAAAAGGACGGCGAAATCAATTGTATTGTGACCAAGACCCCGGAAATAGCTTTAATCAGGGGATACCTTCAGACGAGGGTAAAGTGAACCTATATTGATATGGAGGGATAGAGTATGGAGGGTATATTAAGTTTGTCATTCCGTTTGTAACACCTCGAAATATAAACTTTAGACCCCACAATGTATATATATTCTTGATCAAAATCTATGTCGATTTAGCGATGTCAGTCCGTCTGTGGAAATCACCCTAGCTTTTGAACGAAATGAAGTAGGTTGATAAAATTTTACTCAAATGTATATTACGTCTGCAGGACTTTAGCTATTGAAAATGGGCCATATAGGTTCACGTTTTTTTCAACGTTTCACGCTATTTTCGATATTTTCGTGATTTTAGCGACATTAGTCACCGGAATTGTTTCAAATTTGGTATTTGAAGTTCGTAATGGATATTACAGCCTTTGACAGAAAATTCTCTGTGCAGGTAAACGTCTTCGTATAGCCTCCATATAACAGTACCTCCCGATATTCGGTATTTTGATGATTGTAGCGACATTTTTCGACGGAATTGTTTCAAATTTGGTATTTGAAGTTCGTAATGGATAATAAAGCCTATGACGGTACCTCCCGATATTCGATATTTTTATGAGTTTAGCTACATTAGTCACCGAATTCTTTTCTTCAAGTTTCTCATTGGAATATTTTAATGTCTTATGGCAGGTCCACGTCGTCGTATAGACCCTCAAATAACGGCTACATTCGATAGTTTTAAGATTTTAACGGTTTTTATTTTAATTGCCAAATTCGTTCCAAATGGTTCAAAGTTCGGCCCACAACTTTTTTACTTGTTTCTTACTAGGAACTCAAATTACCAAAATGTGGGAGCTATGTCAAAAAATTTACCCACACGAGCACGAAATAATTCTATATGTAACTCATAGACCTGTATGACAAAAACTTAAAGAGTACTTAGCATGAGTAAAATTTGCTCGACTTTGAGCTGCTTTTACATTCACTTGAAAACGAGTGTAGACTACTTGCTCTTATTCGCGTGGAATGAAAAAATAAGGTATACCCGATTTATGTTAATTTACTTACAGGAATGCTTTCCGTTATTTCAGCTCTGGTTAGCACAAAAATTCTGCAAAGCAGAGCGATTCGAGACAAAAAACATAAAAATTTTTTCATTTCGTTTGAAAGCAAGAGTGAATTCCGTCTGACAGACGGACGGTAAATGCCAAATCGATATAGAATTAATAGCCTGTTCAGCAAACTTATTTTTCTTCCAATTGCTCGGCAAATGGCAGACGATTAGAATTTTTGGTTTTTGTATGTAAGTAAACAAAAAGAGCTTTTTTCAATAGGCAATTTTTGGTTCACCAAACTCCAACACAAACAAAACGAAATGTCAAAGTAGGCAATCAAAAAATACCAATCGTCTATTCACAAAAGTTTTAAAAATTGAAGATATTGGGTGTAAAATGGATATTTATACTAAAAAAATGTAAGTATTTCCAAGTTATTACATTATAAACATTAATTTATAAGGAAATTTCAATCTTTTAGAATTAAAAAAACAACTCCTGGTCAGTTTCGGATCTTGGTGGAATCTATTGACGAATTCCCAGAGCTAGCAACTTCAAGCCCGATATTTGGGAAGTCGAAAGTCGAAATTGAATCCAAATGGGATGTTGTGGCACAAAAAATAAATTCGGTTGGACCTCCAATGCGAAGTGGATCTGATTGGAAAAGGGTACACTAACAGCCATTTGTTTTACAACAGTATTTAAAACGCTTAGGTTTTAGATATGGGCAGATATGAAATGTAGAACGAAGGCCAAAATAACTGAAAATATAAAGCAAATGAAAGGCACAGGCGGAGGACCTTCCTATCAAAATTCGTTGACAGATATCGAAAGGGATATCGATAGGATATGCCAGCTATCAAAAGCCGCATCACCTGATGGAATAACCTTCGGTACAAATAGGAAAGAGCCTCTTGTTTTGGAACTTACGCCACCCAGACCTTCAACTATCGTTGCTGTTGTTACTCCCACAACTTCAGACCAATATTCAAATACAGCACAAGCGACATCAACCCCTATCAAAGTTATGCCGAAAGCAAACCTTTGCAAAAACCAACAGAAACGAAAGATCGCAGAAAAAGAACAAGGGGCGGAAATAAAACTTTTAAAATTACAATTGGAGCAGAATAATGCTTTGGTAGAAGAGCTGAAGGTGCAAACAAAAACACTCAACTCGCTGGCCAATTCTCTCCAAGGCATTCAACATGTCTTGCAAGAAATGTTAACATTTTTAAAAACTGAATGAAAATAATTGTGTTAAGACATTTTTTAATCAACTAATCAATTTTATTGTTTCCCTATTAATTTAATTTTAATAAAAAAGAGCTTAATTACATTTTTATTATTTATGTTTATTTATTTAATTATTTTTAACTATTTAATTTAACAGATTTAAAGCTACTTCGTCTCTAATTGTAATAGCTGCCGTTTCATCGCCAGAGGAAAAAATACCTAAATCTTCATTTTCATTTTGGAACATAGCATCACTTGGTAACAAATTGTTCTTATAAAATATACATATGTTGTGCAAAGCACAACACGTGTTTATAATTTGTGTTGCTTTGGCGGGACTGTAATGCAACCCTCTCGATCCTATGATGCACCTAAACCTATTCTTTAGAACACCAAAACACCGTTCTACAACATTTCGAGTTTTTGAATGTTTCTTGTTGTAGTTCCTTTCGGTGGCATTTGAAGGATTCCGGTATGGCGTCATCATATAGGGCTGAAGTTTGTATCCAGAGTCCCCTTCAAGTGAATTTTAGGAAAGAATATATTTTGGTGTATGTGTGTATTAAAAAAGGCAATTATAAATACCTAACAGCCATGTATTCCTCTTGCCTCGAATAAAATTATTTTTAAAATGATCATGTGCATCGCTCTGGTCCCACACAAATGCATCGTGATTTGCACCTGGATGTCTAGCATCTACGTAATTTATTACCATATTATGATCGCATATCTGTAATGAATAATACAAATTAATAGCATATTTTCATTACATAGCTTTGAAAAAAACTTACCACCATTACATTTATGCTGTAGTAACCTTTACGGTTATAATATAAATGCTGTTGTTGTTGCCCAGGGGACTTTATTCGAACATGGGAGCCGTCTATGCATCCTACAACTCCTGGTACACCAGCGCTGTTGAAATCTGAAACAAACAACAAAAGTTATGGTCCATTTCATCCGCTGTCCTGGATCCATCCAAACACTTACCTTTCTTCTGGAAGTTCCAATACGTTTGTGGCATCGCGAATTGACGAAAAAGATTGATATTTCCGTCACCCCTATTCATACTTTTATTTAAAATGGAAAGTCCAAAACCAACGGAGGCAATCATTTTTAAAAAATATAAACAAATTTTCTTTTTGGAAACATAAACAAATTTTTGACAGAAGGGCAATAAGTAAAAAGAGCTTTTTTCCCAGACGAAAAAAGTAAATGAACTAAAATAAAAACTTGATTGTCTGGGTAGCAATTGTTTGTCTGCCTTACACAAAAGTTCTGTGAACAGGCTATAAATTTGTATTTATTTTGTAGGGTCTAAAAAGTTTGTTTCGGGGTGTTACAAACGGGATCAAAAAAACGTTGTTTATATTCCGAGAGTAAATTTTCTGGGCATTGATTAGAAGAAAAAAAATTTAAAAATTTGATAATCTTCAATATAATTATACCGCTCCAGCTAGATTAGCATTACAAAAAAAATTCACCTACTGTAAAATTCATTGACTGACAGTATCACCTTATCCATATTTGTTTGATATTTCATGCCTATAAACAAAATTGTTTAATAATGTTTACTAATTAATTACTATATTAAAATAATTAGTTAACTGAAAATAATGCTCTACTAACTCAAAACAGCTATTAATTAAATTTAAGTGTTATTTAAATTAGTATACACAATTATATGAAAAAAACGGATTTTTTATTAGTATAAACAATGATATGAAAAACGTTCTTTAATGAATAACATGCAATTAAAAATTAATGAGATTTATGTCAAATCTTAAAATACAACAAAAAATATGTATTAATGAAATGAATATTACAATTTAAAAGCTCCATTCAATATGAACAATGGTTGGAATTTTCGATTACTAACCTGCCAGAAACCATCTTCCCAGCTGGGGAACATACGCTTGAAGACACGTGGCTCGTGATCCTGGGCGATGCGAATAACACTGACAGTGTCGATGGTACGATCAGTGGGTTCCGATTTAATATATTTCTGAGGGTATTAAAAAATGAGAATTGAAAATTTACATGGGAAAGTGTTGAGATTTCCGCCTACCTTGGCCATATCCAAAATGTGGTTATTTTCTTTGGCTGTGGCACCACTGCCAACCCACATATAAATTTCATCACCAGCATCAATGAGCATAACATCATCCATGTCCAAGTCAGCCTGTTCGAAGTGATTGACTTCTTCGACCTTTATGCGATTGCGCACCAAATGGCAATGGAACAGACGGGGTTCCAATATGGGAGCAACCTTCTCCGACAAGCTACGATCATACTGACCCTCACCATTTAAGTCGTCCCAGAAATCATCTGGTTCGGCGCCTTCTTCAATAACTTCAGTTTCAGCATCGGGCCAATAGTGGCCGAAACGTTCAGCAGCCATGGCCTTTTCAAACTCAGAGGCAACCTAACAAAAAATATACGTATTGAAATTTACCTGATTTTACCCTTTAATATACCTGAAACTTACCAAACCCAACCAAATGTAGACTTTGTTACTGCCATTATTGCGCACCAGAGCAAACACATCTGTGGAGACCAATGATGCAGAATCGGCATCAACTTCAAAGGCATGTACACTTGTGTCATCGGCACCACGAATATGGAACAGTTGAGGTCCCGTGGGCATACCATTGACCATGGTCAACAACTTGCCCTTGAACATTTTGATGAAGTGTCTGGGTTCATGATTTTGTACGCAACGTACCAAAATACCATTCTGCTCCATTGCCATGTTCATGGCATCTTCAAAGGCGCGTTGTTTGGCCATTTCACTGGCCTTCATGCCCTCCCAAACGTAAATCAAAGTACCAGTTTCGCCATTCTTAGCCTCATACTTGTAGGGTATAACATAGGCGGCAAATCCCAAGAGTGGCATTTTTTCTTCATACTCGATATGATTGAGAATGACTTCAGAGTCATCGGGTTTGGTGACGTATTGTGTCAATTCTGTCAAATCTTGTTCACCACTATCGGGCATAAAACCAATAGCACGACCACCACGTTCCTTCAAGTTCTTCAATACCGAATCAACATCATCCACTTCGAAGCCAGACTCATCGGTGTCATATCCCAAGGCGGAACGAATCAAACGAGTATGGGACATGCCAACATCTCGCCAGGTGGCAAAGTATTGTTTGAATGGTGCCGATTCGGCTCCTTCGACCACACGGTGAATCTGAGTCCAGGCTGGGTATTTTTTGGTGCGTAAGAACTCTTGGGCCTTGGCCATGGAATCGCTCTTCTCTTTGGGTGAAGCACCACGACCAACCCAGACGTAAATACCCGAACCGGTATCCAAAATGAAGCAATCAGCAGATTGCAACATTTCTTGGCGCAAGGGTTTCTGAGCAATGGTGTCGATTTTCAATTTGCCACTGGCATCGCTGACCTTGTACAAAGTAACCGAGTTGGCATCGGTGGTCTCAAAAGCGCCATCTTCTTCGGCAACCGATTCTTCGGGTACTTGATTGGGAGAGCCAGAGCCCAAAACGTCGAAGAAGTTCTGCTTATCGGCATCAGTACTGTGTTCATCTGTATCCCGTAAGGGAAAGGGAGAGAGAGAGACAGAATAGTTCATTAACACATCTTCGTCCCATACTCCTCATCACAACGCCACCTGTTTGCCGGTGGATCTGTCGTGCTAATAGTCCACAGTATTTAACACACTACTTACCAATAATTTCCACTCTAGCTCTGCCATTATGATCTTGATCTCTTATCTGATTTGCGGCACTAATAGCCTTCAATTTTTCCACACGCTTGGCCTGGGCACCCACATACACATAAATCTGATTACCAGCATCCAATATGAAGCAATCGCCCTTGTTCATCGACGATACGGACAAATTAACTTGACGCACACGTACATTACGTTTACCCTTTACTTGGAAGAGACGCTTCTCACCTTGGGCATTGGTTTCGACATGTTTGAAGCCGGTGCCAACACCGCCCTGTTCATAACGTACACCTACACATGTGGTACCCAAACGCGTGCACACACACACACACACGAATCCATTGGCATTAAACCCCAGCAAGGCAAGGACAATGAAGTTGACCATAATACGAAGTAGAAGAACAAGAAGCAGGAGATAAAGGAGCAACAGCATAAAAGAGAAAATAAAATTACAGGTAAGTAAGTAAATGCGTAAGTATGTAGTTATATAATAAACACATATGTGAGTGTACATAAGTATATCTCTGTGTGTTTGGATTGGTAATGGTAATTTGTAAAACGGTAGAATATTAAAGAAACATTTAACCAAATGACTGCCATAAGTTAATTAGATTGAAACTGAAAACGGTGTACTTTTGTGTGGTTTGTTCTTCCGCTTAAGTGAGCGCTTTCTATCTAGCAGCGATATCCTACATATATGGCGAAGATGGTAGGAAAATCTGGCAGAAAACTGCGTTCGAGTCAGTAACTATGAAAGATTAACGAAATTGGCCATAACGATTTAAACAAACTGCTACTTATTGCATTTCGCATATATGTAGATATGTAAATACATGAGGATAATAATAAAGGCAGGAAATGTCTATAACGTCAATATTCTTATCTGTATGTAGTCATGTAAAATTATTGCTTAAAAAGCAAAACACATGCACAACCTATGTTGAAATTCGCATATTTTTTCTGGGTCAAAGAAAACATTGGGTTTTCTTCTAGTGCGAAGAAGCTATTTATGAAATTCTACGGACTTATACCGCGGTCAAGCCATCTGTGTGCTTTGGATATTTATTTTCTTAATACATCTCCTGCAGCCCCTGCAATGCTATAACTTAATTTTATATGAGTCAACCAGCTTAAGAGAAACTGTAACTACTTCGGCTGACAGGAAAATAAGTCTAAGGTCGACAAAATACCTAAAAATAAGTTGCAGGATAGACTCATGTTTTGAATCTACTTTTTTAAAAGTTGTAAAACAAATTATTCCCCATAGAATTTGACTACTTGTTTAAGCATACCCTTTTTGGGGGCTGTACCACACGATTGGATCTACAGGTTGAGATGAAAAAACTGCAACCAACTTCAGACTGATATCATTTCTAAGCCACTCCTCCGGCAGCTGTTAAAAATATTCCAGTGACAGCTCATTAGTGGACGGAAGAAAAAAAGCAACATCAGCAGAAATGATTCGAAAAGTAAAGAAGCGACTTGATCAAAACCCGCGTCGCAGTGGCTGAATAATGGCTCGTGAGCTGAATATATCGCAATATTCCATTCGGCAAATATTGAAAAATGAGTCCGGGGTAAAGCCATTGAAGTTCCAAAAAGTGCAAGAACTTACACCGCAATAGAAAGAAAGTAGACTCAAAAGAGCTAAAGAGTTGTTTCGCTTGGCCGAAAGTGGTGATCTGCCGAATTTAGTTTTCTCCGATGAGAAAACATTAGTTGTCTATTCGCAGTCTGTAAACATACAAAATGATCGTATTTACCTGCCAAAGAGGTCAGCTGAAAATGTGCACCTTTGGCTGGCCACTACAACTCAAGGTGGCCGACCAAGGTGATGGTGTGGGCCGCCATAACAGCCGATGGTCGCTCTCCGCTCGTATAATCGACCGGGCCATCAAAATAAACGCCGAATATTTTCGCGAAAATATTCTGGAGGGTTAATACAGCCTTGGGCACACAAACATTTTGGCCGCAGAGCTTGGACATTCCAACAGGACTCAGCAACTTCGCACTCAGCACGCGCCATCCCATAATAGTTACGAAATGAGATACCTCGGTTCATTTCCGGTGCACAATGGCCACCAAAGTCTCCGGATACCAATCAGTTGGACTATTGCGTCTGGAGTATTTTGGAAGGCAAGGTTCGCACTAAAAAATACCAAAGTGTCGATAACCTCAAGCAAGCGCTTCACCGGGAATGGGCCAAATTGCTGCAGGGCAACATTCGGGCAGCGTGTAACGGTTTCATTGGCCGTTTGAAGACCATAATTCGTGCCAAAGGTGACCAATTCGAACAAATATAAACTTATTCTAAAATTTGATGCTATTTCCGACATTTTTTGCTTTCATTCAATAAAATTTAAAAAATATAATAACAAATAATAAAAACATTAAGTTCGGCCGGGCCAAACTTTAAATACCCTCCACCTTAGGGTAAAGGAAACATTAGATGAAATGTGGCAAGAACCATTAAAATGCCGAATATCGGGAGGTACCGTTATATGGGGGCTATACCAAATCGTGGACCTACACATGCAAGGTTTCGCCAACGGAGCTAGAACCCATTATGACCTACAAATACAAATTTTCAGACAAGTACGTGAAAAAAATGTGGCAAGAATCATCAAATTACCGAATATCGGGAGGTACCGTTATATGGGGGCTATACCAAAACGTGGACCTATAATTACAATGACTTGCAACACGAACTGGGACCCATTATGATTTACAACTACCAAATTTTCAGAGAAATTCGTGAAAAAATGTGTCAAAAATCGTCAAAATACCGAATATTAGGAGGTACCGTTATATGGGGACTATACCAAAACGTGGACCTATACATACAATGTTTCGCCACCGGAGCTGGAACCCATTATGACCTACAAATACCAATTTTCAGACAAATCCGTGAAAAAATGTGGCAAAAATAATGAAAATACCGAATATCAGGAGGTACCATTATATGGGGGCTATACCAAATCATGGACCCATACATGCAATGTTTCGCCACCGGAGGTGGAACCCATTATGACCAACAAATACCAATTTTCAGACAAATCCGTGAAAAAATGTGGCAAAAATAATCAAAATACCGAATATCAGGAGGTACCGTTATATGGGGACTATACCAGAACGTGGACCGATATATCTCATTTTCAATACCAACCATCCTAGACACAATACCAATTGCTCTGCTAAATTTTGGTGATCTACGTCAAATAATGTGGGCTGTATCGTGATTTCAACAGACAGACGGACAGACAGACGGACATCGTTAATTCGACTTAGAATTTTATGCTGATTATGAATATATATACTTTATGGGGTCTACGACGAATATTTAAAGATGTTATAAACGGAATGACAAAGTTAATATACCCTCCTTTCCAAGGTGGAGGGTATAATTATGGTGTCACCCTGTATATACATTATAGAGTCTACGACGAATATTTAGGGATGTTACGTTTCGTACCATTATAGTACATTTCGTACAATTATAGTACACACTTCCAAAACCACTTCCTTATGTCAAGGCAACACATGAACAGTTACCCTTATACAGAATTTCACACTGCAAACACTAGCTGTTTACCCAATACCAAATTGTACCTAATACCAATAGTACACCTTTTCAAAACCACTTCCATATCTTAAACACAGATTTCAGGACTTAAGCTCTATTCCTTTACCACTTACCAAATTTTGTACTTTTTAGTACCTTTCATACCATTAAAGTAAACATTTCCAAAACCACATCCATATCTCAATTCCAGATGCCAACAGAGACCTCAATATCTAATTTGAGGATTCCAGCCCAATCCCTCCGTTCAATACCATATTTAGTACCCTTCAGTACATTATGTTCGGGCTACACATGTGCAGCGACCCTATTACCAAATTTCAAATTTCAAGCACTATCTGCACTCCCAAATTAAAATTGTACCAAATATAGTGTTATTTAGTGCCTTTCGCACACCTACAACACATTTTCAAAACCACCTTCATATATCAAACTTACTTTCAAACCTTGATTCTCATATCAAATTTCTAGTTTTTAGGGTAGTACTACTTGCAGTTGAGTGATATTCTTTATTTTCACACATGACTTAAGCTTAGTCTGAATGCTATGAGGTTCAAATATCGAATTAAAACATACAATCACTCCGCTTGGCAAATAATTTGTGCTTTTCAAAATTCTGTTCCGTTTTCGAAGCTGACCTAATTATAATAACAAAATATTGCCTACATTTTTTGACTTTTAATACAAACAATTTGTGGGGGAATTTCCAGAAGAGAGTGACGGTAGATAACAAACAGAAAAACCACTTTCATACTCTAAAAAACATTTAAGAAAACCGTCTACAATTTCTACATTTTTGTATTTTTAATTTTATACACTTCCCTTCACCAACAACTTTACTGCTCTAATTCGCCATTATTTCATATGTATGTGAAGGAGGTTCCATTGAAACGATAATAAAAACACACGAAAAGACATCCAAATTCACACAGAGAATAATTCATTGAGAAATTATTTCTTCCAAATCCTTTTAAGTTTCCCTTAAATAAGCCATTAGAAGAAAGTTTGAAATTTCCCAACCATTAACCGCACCACAACACCTCCCGGTAAACTTGCAACACCACTGACGGCTAAGATATGCCTCTGCTGCAACAGCAAACAAATCCAAAATTTAAACACTAAAGTGGCAAAAAGTCAAGAAGTTTCTTTGTTTTTTTTTCGGGAAAATTTTTACCACGAACTGCAATATTAACACCATAACAGCAAGACCGCGCTACGGCACAGACCACAGGTGCATTTGCAGCACTCAGCAGGGGTGGTGATCACGAATGCATAGAAGGAAAACATTAAATTCGTTGTAGCCAACCAAGAAAACACAATTGTAAAACGCCCAGTAGGTGAGCCGAACAACTAACCATCACCGCCATTGGCAATTCATGGCGGGATGTGCAAACACAAAGACCGAGCAAAACAAAAAAAATATCCCGAAATATCAACAAAAAAGTTTTATTTATTGCCCACCATATCTTACCGTTTTTAAAGTAGCTCAAAAACAATTGCGATTCATGATCCTGAACTTCACGATGTTGCACTGGACCGCCATTAAGTAGGTCATCAAGTTGTACGGTTAGAATGGCAGCAGCACCGGCCTCATCCACGGATGTTTCGGAGCCCAACCAAAAGTGAACATCCCATGAGAGTGATTTGTCTTTTTTATTTTGAACAGTCTGTGGAATAAAACAAAAATAGAAATGTTAAATGAGGAACAACAAATTGAAACAAAGAAAATTGCTGCTATAAGTAGTTTGTGAAAAGTTCCACATTGAAAATGGCGAAATGGGTGAAAGTTAGGAGTTGCCTCTGAAATGGAATGACTAATTGCAGTTTTATAAAATACCTACATCCTACTCCGACTTAGAGCCGGATTTTCTGTGTCGATACAATATTAATAGGGAACGAAAAATACAGTTCCGAACATAGTTTAAAAAATTACGATTTAACACAAATATAAACAAGTATACCAGTAAGGAAAAGTCAAAAGTCGGCCGGGGCCTACACCACTATGCATATTTAGTAGAGCTACATCACTAGGCATATTTGTTTGAAGTAGATCATACCACAAATCAACCTTTGTCTTTAGATCAGTTAAAATTTGGTTTCAAGGGGAAATAATATATGGAAGGCATATACAATTCTGAATCTATTTGACGGGGACAAGCAGTAAGTTCGGCCGGGCCGAACTTTGAATACCCTCCACCATTTAGAACGAATTAGAAAATTTTCAAAAAAACATAAAATCCATTATAAGAATATAAGAAGGTGCCGATATGTGGGGATATACGATATTGTGGACCTATAAAGACAAATCTATGTCTGCGTATAAAGTACTCACAAGGAACACCTTGTGTGGATTTTCAAAATACCAAATATCGCGGGGTATCGTTATATGGTAGCTATACGTTATCGTTAACCTATATAGAGAATTCTCTGTCGGGGGGTAAAGTGCTCACAAAGAACACCTTGTGTACAAAGAACCCCTTGTGACCATTCCGTTGGAAAATGTGGATAAAATCATGAAAATACCAAATATCGGGGGTACCGTTATATGGGCGCTATACGATATGGTTGACCTATATAGATAATTCTCTATCGAGGTATAAAGTACCCACAAGGAACTCCTTGTGTGGATTTTCAGACAATTCCGATGAAAAATGTGGGTAAAATCATCAAAATACCGAATATCGGGGGTACCGTTATATAGGGAATATACGATATCGTGGACCTGTACACAAGAAACTACTTGTGTGGGTTTTAAGACAATTCCATTGAAAAATGTGGCTAACATCATCAAAATACCGAATATCGGGGGTACAGTTATATGGGAGATATACGATATCGTGGACCTATATAGACTATTCTTTTTGAAGGGGTAAAATGTCCACAAGGGACTCCTTTTGTGGAATTTCAGACAATTCCATTGAAAAATGTGGCTAAAATCATCAAAATACCGAATACCGTGGGGGTACCGTTATATGGGGGCTATACAATATTGTGGACCTATATAGATAATTCTCTGCCGAGGCATAAAATACCCACAAGGAACTACTTGTGTGGATTTTCAGACAATTCCATTGAAAAATGTGGCTAAAATCATCAAAATACCGAATATCGGGGGTACCGTTATATGGGGGCTATACGATATCGTGGACCGATATAGCCCATCTTCGAACTTGACCTGCCTGCAGACAAAAGAGAGATCTGTGCAAAATTTTAGATTCCTATCTTAATTCGTTTAGACTGTAGCGTGATTACAACAGACGGACGGACAGGGCTAAATCGTCTTAGAATTTTACGCTGATCAAGATATATATACTTTGTTGGGTATAACATGATTATTTCGATGATTTACAAACGGAATGACGAACTTAATATACCCTCAATACTTTTTTTGGTGGAGGGTATAAAAATATATATCGAGCCAAGTTCTACCAAATGGAAAAGTACGTCCTGAAATTCACTCTATTTGGGCTAATATTAGCCATCATTTGCACAATATAAATGAAATCGGGTTAAGGATATGTATGGGATATACATCCAAATCTGAGCCGATATTTGGCAAGGGGTTTTCCGACCTCTACAAGATATCTGGTACCAAATATCATTGTTATGGAGTGCATATTACGAATGTGAGGGAATTAAAGACCAAATCGGATGGGAGCTATAGCTATATATGAACCGAATTTTACCAAATTTTATGTACTTGCTTCTAGGCTGAATTTGGTTGAAAGATATTGACCATTTGGTGCACAATCAACCCGAAATCGGTTGAAGATATATATGAGAGATGTATCGAAATTCGAACCGATTCTCACCAATATCAGATTTGACTTTGGGACAAGCAAATATTGTTTGGAAAATTTCATCTCAATTAGATGATAAATACGATCTGCATTTTGTTCCCAAGAATATATGGACAGACGGACTGACATGCATAAATCGACTCCGAAAGTGATTCGATAAAGATCCTCAAATGTAACTATGGGTCTATCTCGCTTCCTTCTCCGTGTTACAAACAAATGCACAAAGACATAATACCCTAACCAGTATGTGGTGTAGGGTATAAAAAGCAGCTAATTTCGTCCAGGCCAAACTTTTAATACCCTCCATCATTTGGAGTGAACTTGACAAATTTCAAAAATACGAAGGCGTGGATTTGAACAAGTAATTTTTGTCATAGGCTGTAGTATCGATTACGAACTTTAAAGCAGTTGTTTAGTTTTGTAGAAACTGTACATGTTGTAAAAATAGTTTGTGTGTTGAATGTTCTTCTTTAAATTCTTATCTCATTTTTATTTGTCTTTTCCGAAGAATGTAAATTAGTTAAATAAAGAAAACACTTAAGATGCATGTGTTTTCCAAATGCTATGTTTATGGTCGGTAATAAATAATGTAATAAATGTCACGGCCATAAATAGAAGATAAGAAAGAGTCGATCACAAATTAGGTACGTTTCGTTTTCTCCCGCAACGTATTGTGTGCGTTAATGCACAGCGTGCATTAGTAAATAAAATGCATGTGTTAATGTATTAGATGTAAGCTTTAGTGTTAAGAATATGTTGTAAATAAATTGAGTTCCCTTCCAGCCACGGAACGAGAAAGATCAACTCGCGGCATTTTCTTTTTCTTTCGTTAGTTACATCGCTTTGTGATGAGGTTAGGAGTCGACCTCATCATTTGGTGACCCCGACGTGATAGTATCGCGTGTAGTTAGTGAAGTTATTCGATAGGCTATATTTTCAGTGTCCGAGAAAATATTAGTTTATGCGAACTAAATGACGTGATAGGCGCGCATTTTCGTAGTAGTGAAGTGTGTTAGGCTTATTTGTTGTAGCGACGTAAAAGGTGCACTGTTGAAGCAAAGATAGTGTTAGATCTTTTAGTTGTGTACAAGGAGACATGATAGGTAGCAGTGAAAGATTCTGTCGATCTATCTCTCCATATACTAACGCAATAGACGTGTAGAAAAAAGTGATTAGTTTATTCGTTTATTTTTTGAGTGCACATATATTTCGTCAATATGAATTTTGTAGACTTCATTCAACATCAAAGGATGTTGGGCGAGTATATTGTGTCACTTTATTTAGAAATGGAAAAAATTGCTCTGTGTGGTGTAACTGAGGAAGCTAGGGAAAAATATACCAAATTAGGTAGTTCCTTTACAGAAGCAAGAAAGGAATATTTAGATAACGAGAGGGAACTCCGTCGTATGAAAAAAATTACATACTCGGATTACATAGACGCCTTGGGAGTGTGCTATGCGACTAAAGATATCGAGAGAGTTCTAAACGGCATAGGTGTTTTTGTGCCCATAGAAATACCACGTTTAGATATCGATTATTTAGCTGAGGTGAACAGCTTAAGTTCATCGGAACAGTGTGGGAAAAATGCCTTACTGTTCCATTCACAGCCGCCAGACATTGGGATAACGGTTAAACTTATCGATGCTTTATTTGATTTTTGGGAGGAGATTAGAAAATGTTATTTCTCAAAAATAGAAAACATCGATAGAAAATTTCAAACATTATCGTCACAATACGTGCGGTATTTGGATGTAGTTGGAAAACAGGATGACTACACAAGTCATTACCATTTTCTTAGAATTTGTTACCGCATAGTGAGAAGTGGGAACATTTCAAGAATAGCACCTAAAAAGGTGAACATGAAGAAGCATGTTGATAATGTTAAGGGTAGTTTAGGGACTCATCAAAAGGTAGTTGAGGACTTAGAAGCTATCGAAAGTAAAAATGAAAACGTTCGCCTTGATGTTCCGCGAGTCGAAGGAAAAATAACGAGAAAAATTAAAATTGAAGAAGGGCTGCCAACAAGGAATTTACAGGAACACAAAAATCTTGTATTTGCTGCTCCTGACAAAGAAGAAAGTGAAATCCGGGCCAAGGATTGTATTGACGATGGACATAAAGAGAAGATTGATAATTTCCGTCTGGAACGTGCGAAATGGTTCAGAAGACGTGGTGAACATAACACGAGTATAAGTAAACGACGTATCCATGCAGTAGATGTGTCCTTGAATTATGGAAAGGATTTAAAAATATCCCAGGTATCTGATCATCGCTGGCGGAGAGATCCAGACTTCAAGTGGTTGGTGGATGTCATGGGTGCAATTACCTAGTTTCAAGCAGCATACTTCGGAGATTATTTTTATGTTAGAAATTAATTTTGAAATAAGATATAACTTTAGCACAGTTTTATCCAATTCTTGATATTAAGAAAATTATGTTTATTTTATATAATTTAAAAAAATAGAATCGATCGAAGTTTGTTAAAAGATTAGGATCTTTTAAGGCCGGGAGTATGTTTAGTTTTGTAGAAACTGTACATGTTGTAAAAATAGTTTGTGTGTTGAATGTTCTTCTTTAAATTCTTATCTCATTTTTATTTGTCTTTTCCGAAGAATGTAAATTAGTTAAATAAAGAAAACACTTAAGATGCATGTGTTTTCCAAATGCTATGTTTATGGTCGGTAATAAATAATGTAATAAATGTCACGGCCATAAATAGAAGATAAGAAAGAGTCGATCACAAATTAGGTACGTTTCGTTTTCTCCCGCAACGTATTGTGTGCGTTAATGCACAGCGTGCATTAGTAAATAAAATGCATGTGTTAATGTATTAGATGTAAGCTTTAGTGTTAAGAATATGTTGTAAATAAATTGAGTTCCCTTCCAGCCACGGAACGAGAAAGATCAACTCGCGGCATTTTCTTTTTCTTTCGTTAGTTACATCGCTTTGTGATGAGGTTAGGAGTCGACCTCATCAGCAGTTGTCGCCAAAATAATGGAAACACCGAAATCGGGATGTATCGTTATATGGGGGCTATACTAACACGTGGGCCTGTATGTATAATTTTTTGTCATAGACTGTAGTACCCATTAAGATCTTCAAATACGAAATTTAAAACTATCCGGTAAATAATGTCGCTAAAAGCATCAAAATAAGGAATATCGGAAGGTACCGTTATATGGGGGCTATACGAAGACGTGGACCTGCACATGTATTCTATTGTCATAGGCTGTGGTATCCATTAAGATATCCAAATACGAAGTTTGAAACAATTCTGCTAAATAATGTCAACAAAAAATCATCAAAATACCGAATATCGGAAGATACCTTTATGTGGGGGCTTTACCGAGACGTGGGCCTGTGTATGTTTTGTTTTTGTCATAGGAAAATGAAATTGAACGAAACAATTCCAGTTAATAATGTCGCTTAAATAATCAAAATACCGAATATCGGAAGATACCTTTATATGGGCTATACCGAGACATGGTCCTGTGTATGTAACTTATATATATTTTATTGGTCTTATATGCCAAACACAATTATTATTCTCAGAATTTTAAATACATTAGAGTTATTCTGGTCGGAAAACATACAATCGAACATTTGTAACTCTCTTAGAAGAAAAAACTAACATTTCACTTCTCTAAACTCACATGCTAAAATAAACTCCTACGACCAATAACATTTCTAAATGTTTCCTACTTCAAACTGCTCGCCAGTTATTCAAAATAAACTCTCCGAGGAGAACCGGAACTGTTTTCAAAGTTTTACACTACATAAGTTCACACTTTTTTACATACCTTCCAAAAAAAAAACGAACAAAATTGCGCGCAGCACCAAAAACTCAGTTCAAAGGACTAAGGTGAGAACTGCATTACGTTATGTTCAACGATTATGTGAAATTTGTATATTTGGTATTCATGAAAAGTTTTGCCAATATTTATTTTGTGTTACTTGGAACGTATGGGTGGTTGTGTGTGAATTTCAAGATACTTACATTTAAGACAATGAAGGAGTCACCAGTGTAAAATTTGCCATAGTTATTTTTGGGATATGGTACAGGTTCAAAGTTCTGAAAACAAATATAAAATGTCATTAAATATAGATTTATTATAAAAAATGTATTAAAAAACTAAAAAAAAGAATCAACTACAAAATATTACATGGGAAAAGTACAACGTTTTTCCGTTCTCTGAGATTATGAATTTTTAATATCTAAATAAAAGAACAAATTAAAAAGTATCAGTCGGTTTGATATATACCGGGTGAGATAAAAAAACTCCAACAAATTCAAACGCCATAATTTTTACATTTTTTTAAATTTTATTGAATGAAAGCAAAAACGTCGGAAACAGCATCAAATTTTAGAATAAGTTTAGATTTGTTCGAATTGGTCACCTTTAGCACGAATTATGGCCTTCAAACGACCAATGAAACCGTCACACGCTGCCCAAATGTTGCTCTGCAGTATTTTGGCCCATTCCCGGCGAAGCGCTTACTTGAGGTGAGCGACACTTTGTAACCATTCTAGAGTGGCGCATGCTGAGTGCGATGGTGCTAAGTCCTCTTGGAATGTCCATTTATTCTGATGTCACTGTCGATTAATACAAGCGGAGAGCGACCAACGGCTGTTATGGTGGCTGACCTTTTTGGAAAGTAAATACGATCATTTTGTTTGTTTACAAACTGCAGGACAACGAATGTTTTCTCATCGGGGAAAACCAAATTCGGCAGTTCCCCACTTTCGGCCAAGCGAAGCAACTCTTTAGCTCTTTTGGGTCTATTTTCTTTCTGTTGCGGTGTAAGTTCTTGCACTTTTTGGAATTTCAATGGCTTTACCCCGGACTCATTTTTCAATATTTGCCAAATGGAATATAGCGATATGTTCAACTCAAGAGCCATTTTTCGGCCACTGCGACGCGTGTTTTGATCAAGTCGCTTCTTAAATATTTTTGGTACACTTTATGTACGCATTTCCAAGAAGACCTCTTCTTATACTTAGTACATATTTCCAAAACTACCTCCTTTTATCAACTCTACTTCCCAACCTGGATTCTCATATCAAATTTCAAGAGTTTATCTCTATCGGTTCATGTAACTCCAAATGGTACCAAATTTACCAAAACTCTTAGGTTCGACTATCCTACAAAAAATCAATGACCCTCAATCCGAATTTCAGACTTCAAGCTTTTTCTCCAAACCTTCAAATCTTACCCGTTTACACTAACCCTAATGCCAAATTTCAAGCACTATCCCATCCCCCAATACCAAATTTTGCACTATTTAGTAGTTTTCATGTCGTTTTGGTACATAATATAGAGTCAACCGTTTCTTCTGGGCGTCGATAACAGCCATCGGTATAAGAAAATTAGCATAAAATTCGGAAAACCAAGCAAAAAATCACCTATGCCTCAGAAAGGTCTATGGAACACTTAAACATTATACCGGCGATATGTTGACAAGAAAACATTCTCAAACATTTTTTACTCAATTTAATATATCACGTATGACGCAATAATAATTTATTCCAATAAACAATCAACTCAATGGCCCCCATGACGTTCGTGCTAACAAAATTGGAAACAATAACACTAAACACACATTAATATTTCAATTTGAATATTTGCGAAATCAAAATAGCCAATACATTAAAACGGGCAAAGAAATTCTCCATCAAATCCACAATAGCATGGTAATTGTTTTATCTTTAATCTCATTGGTGTTTAATTAAAAAATAATAATTTATTTTGTATGTTGTTTTTTTTTTTTTTATTCATAAGATTTTTCTTCTGTGCTTCCAATCGCCAGTGTTTTCGAGAAAATTAAATTAATTTTAATTAGCCGGCGAACAATAGCAAAAAAAAAAAAAAACGTTGTGCCACACATAAGCCGGTAGGGGCACTACTGTGTGTATGCTGCATGTATAAATGTATGTATGTATACATGTTTAAATATTTATAAGAGCATCATTAATATCTATTTAAAAATAGCTAAAAATCAAAACAAAACAAAATCAAAATTCATTGGACATTCCATTCCATTGGATATTCCATGGTAGGAGTTAGCTAAGCCTATGCGCCAACGAAGAGAAAGACGCTGGAACACGTCTGGGTGTAATTAAAAATTGATTATCTCTCTGCTGAGGGGAAAATCGGAACTTTTTTTCGCTGATGCCCTACAAATAATGTGGATTGTATACATTTTTCACTTCGTTTGGAAAATATTTTCTTCATATATTAAAAATTTGTATATGCTTTGTAAAAAAATGCCCTTTTACTCAAAGTTTATTTAAAACGTGTTCCACTTTAAACTAAAAATACCACTAAGACCGTTTGGATAGTGCAATTAAACTTTTCAAAAAAACCATAAGGTGGGTGAGGTCGTGATATGTGGGGGCCAAAACGGGAACCTATATAGAGAATTTTATATCAACCAAATTTTCTTAAATACCAAATGTGAAACAATTTCGTGGGTAAATGAGACTAGGATTACCCATATCGGTGGCTATCGTTATATGTGCGCTATAGGAAAACGTTGACCTAAATATTCAATGTTCTGTCACCAGAGAAAAACCCAGAATCCATTATGAACTACAAATACTAATTTTTAGACAAATCCGTAGAAACTGTGGCAAACAACATCAAAATACTGAATATCCGGAGATATCATTATGTGGGGGCAATAGGAAAACGTGGACCTATACTTGCAATGTTTTGTCAACGGAACTAGAACCCATTGTGACTTACAAAAACGAATCCGGGAACTGATATATTTCATTTTCTAATACCAACCATCCAAGACAATACAAATTGTTCTGCCAAACTTGTTCTACTTTTAATAATGTGGGCTGTATCGTGATTTCAACAGACAGACAGATGGACGGACATCGTTAAATCGATTTAGAATTTTGAGCTCGGGGTAAAGCCATTGAAATTCCAAAAAGTGTAAGAACTTATACCGCAACAGAAAGAAAATAGACCGAAGAGGTCAGCTGAAAATGTGCACCTTCGGTTGGCCACCAGAACTCAAGCGCCGGCCATGATGATGGTGTGGGCCATCATAACAGCCGATGGAGTATTAAAGGTTCAGGAGGGTGTATTAAAGCCTTGGGCACGCAAACGTTTTGGCCACAGATCTTGGACATTCCTACAGGACTCAGTACCATCGCACTCAGCACGCGCCACCCAAGAATGATTACAAAATGAGGTTCCAGCGCACAATGTCCACCAAAATTTCCTCTCCGAGAATGGGCCAAAATACCGCAGAGCAACATTCGGACAGCGTGTGACATTGGTCATAATTCGTGCCAAAGGTGACCAAAAGTAAGAGTTCTTATTAAAAATACGTCAATTTTGTGCAAAAATTATTTTCAATCGGTTGACGTTTTGGTATTACTTTTGAGGACTTGGCTCCATTCTCCAGCCGAAGTGACTGTTATTTGATATTTTGATTTATTGAAAGAATTTCGAAATGTGTTTAAATGAAGGCTGATATTTTGGAATGGTCACCATATAAAAATAGTCTCGATTATTGGTATTCTTTAGGTCCTCACAACAATTTTCAACTCAATGTATAACAATTCACCAATTTTTAAAAGGTTTCAACTGAAAGCTAGTGGTTTCAGCAATTTTTGCATAAGACCCATTTTTTTCTAAATATAATTGATTTCATGATAGGTTTTTACAAATTGGAGAGCATAAATATGTCTAAAAGTGCTGAGTTCCAATATTTGAGCGGTGCATGTTATATGTATTATTAGGAACTTCATATACTAAATTAATAACCTTCACCATGAGCTACAACAAAACTTTCGGTGTTCAATATTGGGCCCGCCCATTTTTACCAGTAAAATCAAGTGTCTCAAAACACCGTAAAGCCGATGCTAACGATTTCCTTTTATGATGGTTGTTATCTATTCCAAGTTTTCCAAAATTCATTATAGCCTTCTCCATAGTATGAAGGGTATATAAAGTTTATCATTCCGTTTGTAATACCTCGAATCTTTATCAGCATAAAATTCTATATCGATTTAGCGATGTGTGAAAATCACTCTAGCACACTAGAAATGAAGTAGGTTGATGAAATCTTACTCAAATGTGTATTATGTCTGCAAGACTTTTGGTATTCAAAATGGGTCATGTAGGTCCACGTTTTGCTATATCCCCCATCTAGCGGTACCTCCTTTTTTTTGGTATTTTGGTGATTAAAGCGACATCATTCACCGGAAATATTTCATATTTGGTATTTGAAGTTCGTAATGGATAGTACAGCCTAAGACAGAAAATTGTCTGTGCAGGTCCACATATAACGGCACCTTCCTTTTTTCGGTATTTTATTTAAATATTTCAAATATGGTATTTGAAGTTCGTAATGGATAGTACAGTCTAAGACTGAAAATTGTCTGTGCAGGTCCACGTCTTCGTATAGTCCCAGTAAAACGGTACCACTATATATTCGATATTTTGATGATTTTAGCTACATTATTCACCGATTATTTTTTCAAGTTTCGCATTTATGACGGTATTCAAAGGTACCACTATATGGGTGATATAAGAAATCATGAGTCTATTCCAGCAGTCTTCTGCTAAGTATTGCCAGTATTGGAAAATGTTCCAAAAATAATCTAAACATCGAACACTGTGAGTTGCCTTTTTTGTGGGCGTGCTGAGCTCACTTTAGCCGACTATAAACCAATTTCACAGGTTTCAAATTGAATATGTGTTCCAAAATACGATATTTAATATTTGGGCTTTAGGGTTTATAAGAGCCTATTTCAGCATGATTTTTTTTTACATTTTTTGTTTTTTGAGTAAAACCGAGAAATTAACCGACCCTTTGATACAAATTTAGGCTACAGAAGGTCAGCAAATGTTTCCAATATTGATATATATTACTCTACATACATAGAGTATATAATATTCGTTATGGACGAACATAATAATTATATTAAACAATTTTCATGGAACGAGAAATTAATATTAATTTTTTGCTGCTGTTATCGTATTTAAATAAGATATTATTTTTGAATTTCACGCTTTAATAAGCGCCAATAATGTAATCCAGCGAATCATG